GCATGCTAAAATGAGCTAGAATGGTTATCGATTGCCGGCTGTAATTAGAAAAACTGCCGGACAAGACTGACTTCTAAGGTAAGTGAAACTCGACTGCTTGAAATTGACTCTTATCGAGGCCGTGCTTTTCTCGAAGCCGAAACCCTTATTACGAAGATCGATAAACTTTCTTAATCGCGAAAGGCCTTATCTCAAAGTGAGAGCAACCTGAAAATTAGTCCATGAACGCTAAGTGTGCCAGCCAGGGGAGGTTACGCTCTTTTGTTATATATAAGAATATTGTTTTTCGGTCCAGACTGAATGTTCTTATTTTTCTAGTGATTTTAGGGCTGAGAGTATTCTTTGTGAATATTCATAGATTACAGCGTGTGATTTTTCCGTTTTATTGACTTTGGTGGCGTTGAAGTAATTTTGGAGTCGAGCTGTAAGTAGTCTCCTCCGCAGCCGTTATTAGGGTCGTCACGCAACGCCTCTCCCCCACCATGTGGGGGAGAAGCGTTGCGTGACGACCCTAATAACGGCTGCGGAGGAGACTAGGCTGTAAGCTGTAATGTAGGCTGTAATGGTTAGTTTTGCCGTTTAGAAAAAGGAAGTATTTTATACAGTTTAGTTTAAAACATATAATTATATTGTATTAACAAATTTACAACACACAAAATTATATTCCTTGCCAAATCTGAGCCTCGGGTTTATTCTTAAAATATTCTTAAAATGTCCCAAATGTCAGTCTCGATATTCTTATAAAATATATTCTTATAGAAAAAAACGAGAGTTTTATGACCACAGCCTTGGTTAGACTAAAATTTTTAACGGAGGCAATATCAGGAAAAAAAAAAAACGTTTCTTCTATATTGATTTAACTTTCTGATATGTAGCCTCTTACGGGAACTTGAAATAAATATAAAATAGATTCAGAATTGTTAATACCGAGCCAGGTGCCTCGCCTTTTACTAGTTACAGCCCTGTTCCGTTTTTCATACACTGATTCCAGCAGGCCCATACTCTTGGAGTTTCATAAGCGTTTGTATATTCGCGTTAAGACAAAAGCAAAAGGCGGTATGGAACAGGAAGGTCTCGTTCCAGTCCCTTCTCGTCTAATGCGTCTCGGCCATATTGCCTGCTTGATTAACAGACTGCAAAGTAGGCTGCATTTTTCACGGTTCACAGAATTATACATATCTCCCCTCACTGACGCGCGGTGAATTTTCATTCGTGCAACTGGAAATATTTTGGCGGATATTTCCCGTCGCAATCGTGCCTTGACACTGAGCGATGCTGGAACTCGAAGGCAACTCAGTTTACTTCCTGCTTTAGAATATATTGCGCGTGTGTAGTGCCTCAGCCAAAAGCCTTAAAATTTGCATGATAACAGAGGACCCTAATATAGAGCTAGGCTGTCTGAAACTAAACGAGAAAATTACACGATACCCACAGTGTGCTTGTATTTTTTTAATCGAACAACCTTTTCGAAAGAAAGAATCAAAAGCTTTGTTTTTATGTTTGAGCAGATATTTTTGACTGTTTTTTAATGTGTAGATCAATACAGCCCACTTCGCCGAGGGGGTTAACTTAAATGCTAATTAATTAAAACAAAAAGTCGGTAACCGACATCAGCGTTATTATTTTGAGTTCATGGCGGCAGGGCCTAATACAACTGTCGAATGGTTATCATAACTTTGGCAAAAAAGGTTCATCGGTGTTTAAGTCTATGCTTCAACGTCAATGTCGAAATTCCCTGATCCACCCTCGCGCTATGTAAAATAACAACCGGGTACCAAACGACCATATTATTCCATACAGCAACTTCAACCTCGTGTTGTCCGAAATGCGTTTGCTGCTTGCCTTGTGTTGCTGAAAATAATTCAGCTATTTGTCGCTTTTACTTCAGAAACATTAATCTGGTAAGTAAGAGGTTAAATGTTGTAGCTATGGGGTCAGCTTTTGTAAATGTTTTTTCTTTATTTTGGTATGCACTTGCTTTATCATGTATAATACACAAAAGGTGTGAAATTAAGGTGGCTTGTTGCTGGTTATGTTGTTCCTTTAAACTCACCTATAGCTATGTGTTTTTGTAATTTTCTAGGGCAAAAACATTACTCCTCTGAGATGGCCAGTTATTCATCCGCGACACAGAGAATTATTTTTCTGCTGCTACTTATCGCACAAGATCGGGTCGCAAGCACAAGTCTTGGAGGTGATATCACTGCAGATACAGATCTAACGCTCGATGGATCCCCTTACCTCGTATCACAAGATCTCGTTGTAGCTGAAAACGCCACTCTGACTGTCCACCAAGGAGTCCAATTACACTTTGAGACTGGAGTTGCTTTACGAGTTAAGGGTTCTCTGCAAGCCAAAGGGAATCCACGTGGAAGAATAGTCTTCACCAAATCACCGGTTAACAATACTTATAATGATGGAATACGCCTAAGCGATGGGAACAGTTCCAAAGAGGGTCGGCTGGAAATTTTCCTTAGAGGACAATGGATGCCTGTGTGTGATAATCGTTGGGATATGAGAAATGCTGAGGTAACTAAATGTCTCTTGTTCAAAATTGCTCGGTAGTTTGTATTTGCCGAGGTTTACTCCTTTCACATTTGCAAAAATTACAAGCTGAGCTGATCTTATATAATGCTAGTAGAGTAAAATCTTGACTTTTCAAGCCCTCGAACTGTCGAACTTTCCAGTAACTCAACCCAAAAGTTGTTTTTCCTCCAATCCCCCTCCCCGCTGAGTCTAACATTTTACCCGCCGATTTCTCGAACTACCCGATTGTGAAAATTAACTTTTGTTTCCCCTAGAGGCTCGAAAAGTATCTAGTACAGTAGAATCCCAATTTCTCGAACACACGATTTTTCGAACCTCCCAATAACTCAAACCAAGACTCATTTCTCTTATTCCCCTACCCCTCCCCCTCAGTTCGGGATTACAATTTTAATTTCACCCCCGATTTCTCGAACTATCAGTTCTCGGTTCCCTTGGAGGTTCGGAAAAAATTTAGATCCAGACTTCTTTATTTACATTTCTTTTGTTTTTTTTTTTTCTTCTTCTTCTTCTTCTTTTTTTAACAAATTTTTCTGTTTACATTTAAATTTCCTTCAAAGCTGTTAGTTTAAAAAATCAAGTAATGAGTCAGCTTTATTTCTCAAACCAAAAGTTGTCACCCTCCCCTCCCCTCAGTCTAGCTTTGTAATCTAACCCGATTTCGCGAATTATCCCAGTTTTGAAATCAACCGGTTAGTTTTCCTAGGACGGATTAGACAAAAGAATTCAGATGATGTTGGACAGTAGAATGCCGATTTCTTGAACACTCGATACTTCGAACCTCCCGATAACTCGACCGAAAAACCCGTTCCTTTCACTCTCTCCCCCCCTCAGTCGAGCATTGCGATTTCAATTTCAGTCCCGTACTAACCGGTTTTGTTAAATAAGTTCTCGTTTCCCTTGAAGGTTCGGAAAAATCGAGATTTCATCGTTAAGCCTTTACTCAGACTTGCTGTTAGTTTGAATAATCATGAAATGAGTCAGCTATATTTCTCTATTTTTGGAGTGACACTCGTTTACCAATGCAAGCCAAGGAAAATTATATTGGCTTTTAGACTCATTAATTGTTGTACAGGTGGAAAGGACGTCAATCGATCAATCATTCAATCAGTCAAATCGTTATTCACACTTTTTTGATCACAGAGGACGAAAAAACACAGAAAACAGAAGAAAACAAATGGTAGTGGTATTTGGCAATAATACCGCAAGTGATATTTTATAACAGAAGTCGAGAAAATTTCAGTGACACACAACAGACCTTCAGATTTCGTTACGGTTGAAATAACAAACACGGGCGTCTGCATTCGTAAATAGTTCAATAAAAGTAATTTTTAAATCGCGGTTTTTTCCGTCACTGCAGCGATGAAGCGAAACCACAAATTTAGATGAAGTACGGGTAAGCTGTGTTTGTTGTGTTTAATTGCTGCTTTGTTGAAAAACACCAACACCAGCTCCGTAATTTATCGTCACCTGACAGTCATAAAAGGTGGTAGACTACTGTTTGGCAGGCTGGAGTCCCTGTATGGTTGTGCTGAGTGGACAAACTGGAAAGAACTGGACGGGAATTCTGAACCTGTTGGCCGACAGCAGAGCTGATATGGATGAGATCTGTCGCTATAATTCGTCGCCTTCCTCGTAGTCTGCCAGTGAACACTCCCTCATGGTCGGAACCTTTTGTAAATTTCGGCAAAGAATCGAGAGACATTCGTCTAGTTCTTTAGCTTCGTATTTGACAATGTTGTCGTTAAGGCCCTTGCTTTCTGCCCACGACTTCCAAACATTCATCCACGTCTTAGTAGTTTTGACTGTATTTTTGTTTACTGCTTTTTTGGCGAGCTTTTTTATTTCCTCACCGGAAATTTCCGGGAATTTTTCCGCCATTTTTTTTAAACAAAAGCAAAAACGTAATTGTGCTCAGTGTTGTCATGGTAACCTTGTTATACCATCCATTTTTGCTGTTATACCACTATTACGCGGAAATAGTGATACTATCAACCAATCAAATCTCCGAAATTTCTCGGCTTACATTAAAATTGTAAGAAATATACCGTAGACTGCAGCTCATAATACAACTTCGTAAGGGCTTTTACTGAGATAGGCTTACAAACGGAGGTGCTTATATCCGAGGGGGCTTAAAACCGGAATAAAAAAAAGCGGTTTAGAAACGAGCCACAGCCGTGTTGATCGAAACAGGTTTTCATTTACTGGTTTTTAATTAAGCTTTAAATAAAAAATAATTCAAAACAAGGAGAGCTAAAGGGGGACTTAATTCCTGGGAGCTTATAACCAGATACTTTTTTTGGTTTACAGGTAGATGGGCCTCTCACCGGTGGGAGGGGGGAGGGTTTATAAGCGTGGGGGCTTATAAGCGGCAGTTTACGATATCAGTTTTATATACGTGTGTAGCAGCCAAAGCCTACAGAGCTTTCGAGTGTAGTTGGTAACTGCAAGTTTAGTATTACGTAATCCTTGGGCTAGACTAAGCAAAAAGCTTTTCAGTTGTTTGTATAATAACAGTGTTATCTTTGATCACATGCAGGTTGCTTGTAGACAACTAGGGTTTCTGGGCGCCAAAAGGTACTACAGACATCCCGGGGGAACTGGATATACTTGGTTAAATGAAGTCAACTGCCAGGGAACTGAGATGAGTCTGGTGGAGTGCAATTATCGAACTACATATTTTTATTGCGGTAAGTCACATAGAGAAAGAACGCAATCCGATATCACGATATATGGTTTCATTCATGGCTCGGTGGTTTTTTTTGAGTTGACTAGTATTAGAGAGCTTAAGCAAACCACGACGGCAACGACAACGAGAACGCCACGAAACAAAATTTTAATGAGTAGAACAACGGTTGTGCAAGTGCGAAATAAATCTTTGGACATTTTTTTGCCCTCCTCTGCAAAACAACAACGTAAAATGACTAAGGTCTGGTTATTTTGAAGAACGCGAACAACGGTAGCTAATGTTCTGTATTTTCATTTGGAATTGAACGCTGGCATTGCATATTTAGCTTGAGCATGTTCTGAGGCCAATAGGTGCACTAAACAGATCTAGACAATTACGAAAAGGTAAAATAAAAAATCTATTTTCTTTTTCTAGGCGTTGTCCTCGGGGTCGCCTTCATCATTGTTTAAGCTCTCTTTCTTCACAGGGACCCTTCTGGAAACCGTTCTTTGCGTTGTCCTCTAAATACATACAGTAAACGGGATACAACTGACCTTCCTTTCTTTCTTTCTTACCATTACGTGCGTCAAATTATTTGAACTCGAACTTTTGGCACTGCTGGAATCCTAATTGGACACAGTTAAATACAGAAGTAAATATTTAAAGACACTGCACGGTTTTAAGAAATTCTTGACAAAAATCGACCTTGCCCCAGTTGTTCAAAGGGTGGATAACGCTATCTGCCGGATAAATCACTATCCGGTGGATAGCATACAGTTTAACTCCTATTAAACGGCCACCCTCGGGGAAATGAATGGTGGCCGCTCAAAGGAACACAACTTACAGTAAAACAATAAGTGCAATATCAATAATTTTGATGGCATCGAAAATAGCGGAGGCTGACCAAGGTCCTTTAAAGGAAGCTGGCAGTTTATAGAGAAAAAACAATAGAAAAGCCCTCATCGGGACTGTGATTACTGGCCGCCTAATAGGGGTGGCCGTTCATGATAAGTGGCCGTTTAATAGGGGTTCGACTGTATTTTTTTTGTTATTTTACTTATGCACTGGTTAGCGATTTACCCTGTGGATAGTGTTATTTATACCCTTCGAACAACTTGGCGCTGGAATCTTAAAATGATATGATCCTTGAATAAAGCATTTTTTTCCTTGCCAGATCACGATAGAGATATTGGATTAGAGTGCTACAGCCTGGCAAACTGGAAAGGAATTGAGTTTTCTAGTTCCGAAAAACTCTCCTCTCTTCAATATGTGGACGTGTCCCTAGCACACGAAGCAATGAAGATTAGGGAGGTTACTCCAGATCTTGACCACGTGACAGTTAGAAGCTCTATATATGGAGTGAGGTCTGCCAATGCAAGTTCTCCGCTGACCATTAAGGATAGCAGTATCAGCGGTAACGTGTTTGCAGTGATTTCTGACAATGCAAGTTCTCCGCTGACCATTAGGGATTGCATTATCAGCGATAACGTGTTCGTAGGCATCCAAATTAAAGACAGATCAAAGGGACTTACGATTGAGAACACTGTAGTGAGCAACACAATTAAGGGACACGGGTTGAGTTATAACCTAGATGCTGATCCAGTAAATTTTTGTTCTGACGAAGTGGAAAATATGACTTCATTTCCAATTTTTTTCGAAGCGTTGGGCAAACCTAGAACGACTGGCGACTGTGCCAAGGTAGGTAACTAGGCATTAAGTTTTTGTCTAATTAAGTGAAGTCTGTTACCTAGCCTTCACATCCACGGCTGATCATGCAATTCGGGGTTGCAACATGAGACTGGAAGGGATGCTTGTCCAGCTACCTCTCTCCCTCCCCAAAGTTGCGTCAGTATAGCATTATTATGTGCGTTTAGTTGGAAGGGGAGGGAGTGGCAATCAAGGCAAAGGTATCTTTCCATGTAAAGAAGAAAAGACAGAGGGACATTGGACTGAATCTTTGAATTACATACTGAGCACTGGACCACTGGGCTGCAGCCAGGAACTCGTTTTTATCTGTATTTATTCATTCATTCACTCAATTGAATCTAGAACGCTTTGATTTTGATCATAATTTATTGCGCTTTTCTTTAACTTAAAAGATTCGTGTTTTTTCACTATGTTCAAGTCCTATGGCAAATTATTCCAAATTTGTTCACCTTTATATTTAGATAAAAATTTCGAGAGTTTGACCACTATACCTTGAATATTGCTTCTGTAAGGAAAGATCGAAATGAGCACTTTTTGCACTTTGTCTCCCCCCCCCCCCCCCCCCTTACTTCCACCCCTAGTTTAAACAGGGTTAAGTAATTTAAAAGCCATGGAACAGATCGAAACCAAAAATAGAAGGAATGCCTAGTAAAACGTCGAGATCAAAAAGAGTTGTGTGTTTTTTGGGCAAACAAAAATATTGCCTTGTCACGCAACTAGCAACATTATAGGATATGAAACATTACATTTTACTTCTTTGAGTTCTGACATTTTTCCCTCTAGACTATTAAAGCTAGTCCGGGACAGCTCTTGACTGTGTATTATCAATCAATGACTGGAGAAGACTTCGAACTAGATGTACGCGATGGCAACAACAAAAACGCCTCACAACTTGAGCTCGTCAACGAGTCGACAGGTGTCAGTCAGGCTGTCACGCTATCGTCAAGTTCTGGTCACGAACTCTACATAAGGTTTCGATACAGCGCGGGATACAGAGAAGAAGTCAGAATAAGATTCGTAATCACGGACGGTAGAGGTACGGAGTTTTGCTGTTCATTTATAATTTTTTAAATTGATTAGAAAACACCCTGTGTGAAAGCGCGCACTAGAAGCCATACTTCCATAACTCCAAAGAGACGCAGAGAGAATTTGCATTTTGTTATCAAAATAAAAACAGGTGATTTTCTTTTTCTTTTCCCGCAGTCTTTTCTAAAACAAATAGAAAACACCTTCTTTGAGTTTCTACCAAGTTATAGAAACACTCGTGGAAGTTTAGGAGAACTCAGAAAAGTTGTGAATACAATCGGCCAGCGGCTCGTGTCCCTATAACATTTCTCATTCTTCCAAACCTGCACTCATGATTCTATAACTCGATACAAGCCAAGAAAAGGTTTTCTGTTTCTTAAATACCACATTCCCATCAACCTCGTTCCCAAGGTCTCTCATCTTCAAGAGAGGAGAGACCCTGGTTGGGTGATGACATGGTAGGTTGGAAAGTTGAGAGACACTGGGAAGGAGATGAACACGCGAAGAAACACGTGAAGGCTACCTAGTCTAATACATATCTTTCAGGAAATGCATGTGTCAACCTCCGCTGAGGTTACGATTCTTTTTCACTACGGAAAGTTTTATTCTCAGATTCTAGTTGTATTCTGACCTAGTTGTATGTCTTTTCAGTTGCTCCCTCTCTCGTCATATCAAACTGCACATTCCGTGACAACCACAAAAAGGGCGTCTCCTTATCAGACTTTATGGGAAATACGATCATTGGCACAACTACTGTGATTCGGAATAATGCCGGAGGCATGACCGCTGAACGAGTCTCTGGAACACTCGCAGCTACCAACAGTCATTTTATCAACAACAGCGCTAATGGTTTGGAGATCTTGGACAGCAGCTTTCTGTCATGTAATCTGCACGAGCTGTCAAGCAAAGAAAATGAAGGCAATGGGTCATATTTCCATTTTGTTGCTTCTCTTGATAGTAATGTGTCTCACTCGGCTTTTGTTGGAAACGCCCACAATGGAATTGTAATCGCTAATAGCGCCAGTCACATTGCATTCAGGAACGTCACGGCGGTTTTAAACAAGTACAGCGGCGTTCAAATTCATGATGGCCAAGTCTCGTCCAGTTTCGAATCTTGTAATTTGTCGAGCAATAGAGAAGACGGTTGTTACATATCAAACCAGGCCGGAGATCATCAGTTCTTCAACTGCACGGCAAATTCCAATTTGAGGCATGGTGTTAGCTTCTCCGACCCTTCGTCTGCACCAAGGCACTTCTTCGAGCAAATAAGTCTTATAGATAACACCATCAACGACAACACGCAATATGGATTCAAACTAACTCCCGAGGGTCAGTATAGCAGTGACTCAGCTAACATTACCATGGTAATCATCAATAACCAATTCATGCGTAACGGCAGAGGAGGCATCTTTTTGTCTCCAGATCATTACTGGTGGAAAAAACCAAGAAGAGTGCAGGCAAGCGTTACAGACAATCATTTTGAACAGAACAAAGTAAACACATTTCACGTTTTCTGTGTTTACCTGGAATTGGTTATTGAATCCAACACATTCATAAACAACACGGATAAAGTACTGAGCTTGATGAACAACAACCGCTGTGGCTCAAACAAAGATCGGGACCCTAACCTTAATCCTGTTAAGGTGGAAATAAATGAAAACAGATTCATGAAGAACCGCGCTGAAAATGTTTTATTTATCGACTTCAGTTCGTTCCCTGAAGCGGTTTCTGCTATCGTGAGGAATAATACGTTTGAAGACAACGAAGCCGCAACGAAAGACCTTTTTCCAAATTTTTATCGTCGTTCAACAACTCGGGCAGTGATCGTTCTTAAAGAAGGTAGTTTTACCTTGAGCGAAAACATTTTGGAAAATCCCAAGTTTGCGTACCAGCTCTCAACCTTGCGTCCTGATTACCAACGAAGTATTGATGCTAAATTCAACTGGTGGGGAACAGCAGAGGAATGCGAAATCGTGGACAGAATCTTTGATTTCCAGCACAGGGTACAATTGTCTCCAGTGGAGTTCTTCCCTTACCTTCTGTCCTCAAACAAGACAAGAGTCATTAATTCAAGCATACCAAGACTATCCTGCTTTCTTAAAGGTGCAACGATTGGTGGGATCGTAGATAGACCGCTGGCCTTATTGAGCGAGGAGTCGCCTTACGAAGTTCGAGGTGACATCATCATCCTGACGAATGGGTCGCTGTCCATTCCGAAAAATGTGACGTTACAGTTTCCTTCCAGGTCAGCAATGGTTGTACAAGGAACGCTTCTGGTCAATGGAACAGAAAACGAAAAAGTACGATTTCTAAAAAAGCAACACCGAGAAGAATTCCGACTGGGTGGAGGGACTGGACCGTGGGAGGGTAGAGTGGAATTTTTGGTCAATGATACCTGGTGGCCATTGTGCTTGCCCCCCAACAGCTCTTTCACCACCAAAGCGAAAAGCATTTGCCAACAACTCGATCTCTACTATGAAACCTATGCTACACATTTCCCTCCTGGCCAGGAAACTGGCTTCGTCCACGACGTTGTCTGTGATGAGAACGCTACTGGTGATACAATGAGCTGCAGAGCCAATACCTGGAGTTATGGACCTACATGTTTTGGAAATATTGTGCAAGTCTCCTGTCAGAATTACAGCTGGGCGGGGCTTCATCTGGCGATGTCAAACCATCAAAGTTCATTGGAACACCTGGAAATCCAAGATGCTGGCTACGCCTATCGCAGTGAAATCCAGATTCCTGGGGCAGCTCTCAAAGTAGATCTGTTTCACCACAATATAAGCAATGTTTTCATAAACAATTCAGTGGGTATCGGCGTGCAACTGGCATACCATAATTTGTTTCACAACCAGTCCTTGATGCCACATTCTACAATATCAAACACAAAATCTCACGGTGTTCTGTCGAAGTCCCCTTCCCTGTCACTTACAGACGTGAAGATGACAGGGAATGACGGCAGCGGTTTTGTTCAGGAAAGTTATTGGGATAAAATAAACAATTTTGCAGCTGAAATGGCCAGTGCAGATGTGAACAAGACTCTCCACGTCTGCTCGGAAAACAGAACATTTCTACGAGCCAACAAAGTGTTCTATTTCACCTTAGAAGCACTTGAACGGAGCTCGCATCTCAGATGTCAGCATATCATGGAAACAGAGCCCGGTTACAAAATCGTTCTTCAGAGTCTTTATTTTACCTCTTCGTATCGCAAGTCAGAACGTGATTTCTTACACGTATACGATGGTGCGAATGCATCAATTGGTCCACCTTGGAAGATGGAAGCTTTACCATGGAAGAATCGTTATGTTTACAAACAAATCATCCAGTATTTATTCAACTCTACCAAATCACGTGTCGTGTTTGATCTGAACAAACGCGCCTGGGTGCATCTTGCCACCAACTTCATTGCGTATACAGTGAAAGGTTAGTCATCATTTGCTGTTTTCTTTATTAAGCTGCGATAATTGGTTTTCTTAATTTAGCTACGTTAGTTATTTATTCACTTAGCCCTTTTTAAAAAAGATCTATATTCCTCGATATAGACGTAACTAGCAAGCAACTTTGCATCGATCGAGTCCATGGGGGTTTTCTTTACACTTTAATTATGTCAAAATATACATCAAAACATACATGTTCAAGTCATCCTTAGATTTTTTTTCAAATCGTCATCATATCATTCAGAAGAAATGATAGTAGCCTTATGACTAGTGCTGCAACGACTGTCCATGTTTGATGACTGGAATATACCAGAAAATTAGACCCTTTGAGTCCTCATCAGTCTATTTGCCTGAGTGCGAGAACGAAAAGGATGTGGTGCAAATGAATACAGCCTTAGTTTATTTAAATTGTTTATGGAGGTGGTAGTGAAGAGGTGAGAATCATGATATAAGGTAAAGCCTGCAAACAAGCCAAGTGGACCATCAGGCTGACGCTCATCTCTGATTTCTGTAGCATGAAGTGACTAGGCGTATTCCTACTCCTCCCTGGATGGGATGCCAGTTCATCACGGGGTTACCCCCAGCATTGAGGTCGCCGGTACCTATTTACACACCTGGGTGGAGAGAGGCACTGTGAGAGTAAAGTGTCCTGCTCAAGAACACAACGCTCGAACCCGGACCGCGCAATCCGGAGCCGAGCAAACTAACCAAGAAGAAACGTTTAGTTTTATGGAAGAAAAAAAAAACAGTTCTCTTTATTCAGTGGAACTAGACGAAATTGGCATTTATCAGTTATATTCTTTTTAATTTTGTAGAGAACGAACAACTTCGTTATATCAGTGGGGAGATCAACATAGATCGAGTAAACATCAGCAACAGTCTTCAATACGGTGTCCTTATAACAGGAAACTCGTTAAAATCTCTCAGCATTACAAAAACAGACATTACCAAGACCAAAGGCTATGGAATATATATTAGACTATGGGACATTAACATCGTTAAAATCATGTCAACAAATCTTCAACAGAATTTAAAGGGGATTAGTCTTCCGGAAATGACTTCTACAGAATTAACGATCGAGAACTGTGTTATCAATGGTTCCGTGTTGGAGGGCGTGAGTATAAAGAACGAAGTCGATAGTGCTATACGCATTGTAAACACCAGTGTCACGTACAATGATTTCGGAGTCAGGATCTTTGATCAGAAAAGCTTTAAGTTATTCGTCAGCGGTAGTACATTTTCTTGGAACAAGTATGGAGCCATTTATTTCTATCGCTCCCTTTTGCTTGACGTCAAAGGCGATTTGCCAGTCGTACTGTTCAAGTCCAATTATTTCTTTCGTAATCAGGGACTCGCTGTTGACATCAGAACCAAGGGCTCATGGGTATTTTTGAATAACACTTTTGAGGAAAATCGAGGTATGTCTGTCGTCTCATTTCACAGATTTGACCGTGCTGGCTGGTCATCGCCCTTAGTTGTCCATAGTAATTTGTTCCTGGCAAACGAGTGCCCAGATAAAGCAGTGATTAACATTGGAAGTGGAGTGACGCGTAATGATGTAATCATTACAAACAACAACTTCACGTCCAATTTAGGACGCTGTGTGTTCCGTGAAGAGACACCTGCATTTTTACCCGCCCATGTTCCAATTTCCATCACAGATAACCTGTTTAATGAGAATAATTGCGAAAATAATAGTGTCATAGAGGTCCTTCACTTAGACGAAAACGCAACTTTGGTGAACAATATTTTCACACGAAACAGGGGAGAGAACGTTGTCTTTCTTCAAGTGACCCATGGCATCGACACAGCGATTCAAGGAGGAAAGATCGCTTTCAACAACAACACTTTATCCAATAACTTTGTTTACATCTCATCACATTTGTCTCCTGCAGACGATTCTTGTGCGCTTGTTCTTTCTGGAATTTACAAAGAATCAGGTATCAGGTTTAACAAATTTAATAATCCCAGCTTTACAAGGGAACTCTGTGTCAGGTTTCCCGCCACTTCTTGGAGTGACGTTGTGGATGTGACACATAACTGGTGGGGTACAGTTATTGGAAGCGAAGTGCGTGACAGGATTTCAGATTTTGATGATAATTACGATTTTGCTATTGCCGATGATTGGCCTTTTCTTCTGAGTGGCGATGACCCAACTTCAACCACCGTCAATCAACACGATTTCAAACAACATGGAAAAGTTCTTTCGGGACGATTGTTTGACTCTATAACACTAAAAGCCTCTCAAAGCCCGTACAGCGTGACTTCAGATTTGACCGTTCTAGATAACGTCACGCTAACTGTAGAAGCAGGAGTTATGGTCAAGGTAAGCCCAGGGATGAGCATACTTGTTGTTGGAGCGCTCAAAGCTCACGGAACGCTTGACAAACCAGTTACATTCACGATACAGGAGCCTGCAAGCAGTAATAAAGATTCACTTCTCCCTGTGCGACTTATGCATGGGAATTTCCCCTGGGAGGGGAGGGCAGAGGTTTTTCACAACAGGTCTTGGACACCAATGTCTGCTCCCACCAATATGCACGTGAGGAACATCACTGAAGTAGTATGTAGACAGCTTGGATATGGTCCACCAGTCGCTACCGTGGTAAGCACTGATGCATTTAGCCAGAATGCCAACGGGTCGCAGCCTGTAGAATTTCTTTGTCATGGAGACGAAACATTTTTACATGACTGCCTTACAAAGCCGCCGACACTCGATTCCAGCAGTATGATAGATGTTATAGCGAAGTGTCGGGGGACATCCTGGGGAAATCTACGTTTTGTATCTTCCAAAGACGAGAACATGTCCCAGTCCGTCTTGACTCATGTTCAGTTTTCACACTGTGGTAACCGCCATGGAATGGCTGTCCCAGCAGTAGAGGTGGTTACAAATGTGCCCAAACTGGAATCCATCATCGTGCGAAACTGTACATCTGGTGGGCTACAAGTTTACTCTCCGAGAACGGACGTACATCTCAAAAACAGCACTTTTGTGGACACCGGAGGAGTCGGTTTAAGCTTTGTACAGACAAAACGCAACATTTTCGTGGATAGTTCGGAATCATCAAGAAACCAAAGAGGTATTGCCTTTGAGGAAGCAAGTGCCCAAAATGTCCCTCGAGTCCACTTTGGAAGAGTATCTCTATGCAGTGAGAGGAAAGCTGTTTTTGTAAAGAATCAAGTGCATCTTTATTTTGATATTCCAAGACCCAAGAGTACAAGAATAGGTTGTCAGAAAGTGCTGATGGTGGAAAGAGGTAAAGGAATCAAGTTAACTGTGTTATACTATTTGGGAGAGCAACGTTTTGTAATGTACGACTCCATTAACACTACTACAGCAGTTGTGGACAAGTGGAATCACCGTATAGCGGAACTTGTTCATAAAGAGTTGATTATACCACGTGATGCTATTTTGGTGCAGTGGAGAGGAGATATCAACTCTGAGATCGCTATTTTAGTAGAAGCCATAGGTATTAATGGTAAGGACGTTTTTTAGAAACATTTTCTCAAGAGCCCATCACCAGGAGCGTGCAACTCCCATAATGAACCTATGTCACGGCATTTTCACAGACCGGTGGATTTTTTTGGATTTTTTTCCCGCGATATAGGTCAGTTCTGGTCTAAATGAGCATGCATCGGTGAGGAAAGAAATGGTTGTTTTTCTCTTTAATCTTTCAGTAAGATGATGACGTTGGTTAAAACTAAGTTCGTGTTTGTGATTGGTCTCTGAGGTTCCTGCGGTGTCTGAATTCGCGGTAAATTCAAACTAAAGATAGATCGGTCTATGAAAACACCGTGACATGAATATTGGGTAGTTGCACGCTCCAGGTGATGGGCTCCTGATTTTCTAGAAGTTTAATTTTAACCATATCTAGCATGAGCATTTTTTCTTTCGTATTTCTGGGAGGAGGGATTTTGTGCCTCTCCCCTCCCCCCCCCCCCCCCCCCCCCCCCCGTATTTCCGAAATAGTATTCAAACTTATATAATGTGTAAAGAATCCAAACCTGTTTACATCACTGCATGATAATCACGTGTCAATTATGACATCAAAAACGAGTGAGATGCTGACGATTTAACTCAGGGGCAGAACTAGGGGGAGGGTGTAGGGGGTGCACACTGAAGCCTTTCTCTTCGTATTCGCTTTTAAAATTTGTTTACCTCACCAGTCAGTTACGCCATTCCTTAGTGGTGCACCCCTTCCTAAGAAAAATCATGGATCCACCGTTGTAACTAATGTTTAACTGATATGCTCAGGACAAACGCTATTGTGGTACATCTTTTCAATTTGATAGTTACCTTGAAATGGTTTGGTCTTTTAGACGATATTTGGGATAAAATTGCAGGCATAGCCTCGGATATAAAATATCTCACTGGACATAGACTGGACACTTCTTTTTTGCTGCTACAGCGTGCTGACGAGACCCAACCAGGTCGAAAGAGCTGTCCACGGTTGCAATTCTTGGCTTTCAATTTGGACTCTATCATGTCGTTGTCGCGTTAAGTTTACTACATAGTAATCAGCCTTGCTTCATTATTATAGATTTTATTGCATTTCAGTGATTACATTTCATGGAGCCGTTACTTATGAATGAAAGTAGATTGAATATAAAGTCGAGGCTAATATCCTGCCATTTCTTAATCCACAGATGCTCCATGCACCTACGAGCTTGACTTGTGCGGCTGGCAGACATTCACCAATATGTCAATAAATGGAATTAATGTTACGCGGACATGGAAAAGAGTCACCAAACATTTCTCGAGAGATGGCGCATCTGATTACACTTACGGCTCTATCAAAGGTCTGTATTTAGTTGATAGTCTAACAGGGCCCTATGTATAAAGGTCGAGTATGCCCTTCGTCTCGCTTTGGGAGGCAAATCACGGATTTGGGTCTCGCTTAAGGTGTTTAGGACGAAACGTCACCATTTTTCGCCGTAAAGGTATCTTTTAGGGTTGCACCTGAAGCAATAATAAACGAGCGCTGTCTGTCTTTTTTTTAAAAGGTATCTTTCAGGAGTCAAATAGAGCACGCGTCACGTACAGTTTAGTCCTGCATAGGGGTTTAATTCAAACTTTCTGATGAGAATCTCCGACCTTTTCACAGGAGAGTTCCCTCGGGTAGGTGAGAGGCTAACTGCAGTGTAATTCGGCTATTAATTTATTTGTTTAATTTCTCCATCTCAGGAAAATGGCTATACGTTGGCAATGAACAAAAGCCATATGTTGGCGGGCGCGCAGCCATGATCAGCCCTCCAATTACAAACCAGTCCAAGATATGCTACATTGTGTTCTTTTACCGGGTGGGCAAAAAAGATAAAGCTGGACTGTCACTCTACATACAGACAGGTTAGTCTAGGCTGTCACTATACATACTAACAGGTTAGTCTGGTCAATTAATTTATTCTCTTCTATAAGCGATCATCAAAATCATTCTTGTGAGCTTTCTAGCGGAGCTCCCGCGCCGAAAGTGCGTCAGTGGGGCCCCATACCTTAGAATATTTGGTAACTCATCGAGCTAAAAAATTTTAAGTCTCGATAGGTTCTTCTTAACTGTATTTAAAATGTTACCGTACCATGAGGTGCTTTTGGTAAGTTAATTTTTGCTATTATTGCTCGAATGTTCTGCGGAAATCATCTTAAATCAAATCCGCTATTACTTCGATCCATTTCAGGCACAAAATACAGAGCAAAGCATGCATCACATTTTTTCAGTCCAGTTTGCTTGACAAGTCATCGCTAGTGAATTTAAGGGCTACCCAGAAGTTGTATGTCCGGTATTTTTAGCGAAGTCACTGCGCGCCGAAGGCACGGCAGCGGAGCCCCAGTACCAAAGAAAATTTAGTAACCAATCGATCTCAAAAGTTTTGGTTGTCAAGTGACTGTCCGTACGTACGTACGTACGTGCGCCAAACCAAATGACTTGAAAAATAAATGAGTTGCACCATTATCATAGGTACATCTTTGATATTGAACATCTATGTTATGGTTAATTGACTATTGTCAAAACAAGGTATCCGCTGACCAGTATCGCGTGACCATATCGCAAGCTCAGGTTAACAGCTCATCGATGTCGCTTGCGGTTTTTTGAAGTTTAGTGCTTACCAGGTACTGGTTTTCGATTGATCGCAGGCTCAAATCAGGTTATTACTCTAGGGGAGAAGGTGGGAGTACGTGCAAAGGCAACATTTTGGCGCAAATTAGCCCCCGGAGCGTTGTTGACTTTTCTTCCGACATAGTCCTTGCACAATCGTTTCTTGAAAAGTCCCTTATATATTGTGTGCGTAATGTCTACAATCTTGGTTACGCTTAATGGGTATAGGTTGTTAAAATAACTGGAAAAAAGGGAAACCACACGCTGAACAATTACATGCTCATGAATGTTGATCATTTTTTGAGTTTCTGACCCTAGAAAAACAAATCCTCTTTTTCCTTTATGGATAATTACTGCAATAAGTAGCTCAACTTTTAGCCTTCAATAAATCTGTATGTTATTTCTCAAACTCATAAATAATTCATCACGTTTAAACAAACGAAATCATGGCCGTGATGGTGTTTGAATATCTGATCTTAAATTAGCATAGACTTTTACGATTTCATTTCTCCGTTTAATTTCTCCTTAATTTTAGTTTCGATTGAGAAGTTATATAAAACACTCAAGATAGTGTTTGACCACGTTACCAAACACCTCGAAGTTCGTCAAAAATACTCCACTGCGCGTCGCATTTTCAACTCTCTTCTCACTGTTTGGAAATGTGGTCAAACACTGTCTTTCGTGTTTGATATATTACTTTAAAAAATCTTGAGCATTTCTCTTCTGTTTTGTATTCTATAGGAACGTTTCCCGCAATTGAACAGAGACTTCTCTGGAGCGCCAAATCTAAAAAGTGGTGGGAATGGAAAAAGGCCATCGTAGAACTTCCACAAGATTTGGATGAGTATAGAGTGTTGTTTGAAGGTGCATTTGAGTCATTCCAACCTCCACCATATCATCCGAGAAACTTTGTGATTATCGACAACCTAGAACTAAGAAGATGTTCGGTTAAAGGTAATCTATTCATCTATTCTTTGTTACGTGTTATATCAGTGAACGTATTTTAAATAAATAGCCATACACATTAACGGTAGTTACATCAACAGTTTTCTTTAACGTCCATACTGGTAAAGCCTTCTGAAAAATTATTTATATCTGAGCGATTTCGCAAAAACATGCCCGCTAGCGACCTTAAACGTAGGAGGGGCGCCGTCACGGCCAGGCTCGGCACATGGCCCAGGCACTGGCCTATCTGCTGGAGGTTTGCTGGCTGCCAGCTGTTAAAAGAAGTGGGGAGGGGAAGGTGTCTTGTACTGACACCCCCAGCTAGCTGGACTTTGAGTTTTCAGTGTTAAATAACCTTGATATTGACTGTGTTTATGGGTATTTTACTCAGTTGTTGAAACTTGTTTGAGGCTTCTTTGTTGACATGGCACCCTGCTGGAGTGGTCCATGCCACGTGCATGCGTGAGGGGGCCAATCTCCTATCCAGGGGGGTGGTCAGAAGACTTCTGGCATGTGGGACTGTCTTTGAGTCAATACGGGCATGTTTTTGAGAATTCGGTCAGATATACACGCGACTATTTGAACATTTGAAAGCAAGAATTCTCAAGAGTAGCATTACATGGTCTGAAATGGCGCAACAGACCGCAGGAGACGTCAAAATGTGGTAAGAATATCAGTGACACACTCGGCTATCGCCTCGTGTGCCACATTTTTGTACTTATCACAGTTTGACGTAATTTGTGATCTATTACTAAACAGAAACACTGCAACATGAAATCAATTTATTTAAAAAGTGATGACTGAACTCAAATCATATCAACCATTTTTCTTTCTGTAGGAGAACACCGCATTTCCAACAGTGTATTCAGCAACAACATCCACCAAGCCATAAACTACTCCTCTGTAACCGATAAAAGCAACAGAAGACCTGGTTTCACCATTGAAAGGTGTAAAATTATCGACACGGCGATCTCTGCCTCAAACGTGTCTCAAAAGAGCGCCATTTCCCTAGATATTCAGGATAATAGTTTCACCATCGCCAACAACTTCATCTCTGGAAATCTCTTGGGTGGAATTCAAGCGCGTTTAGGCCGGAGCGACGGAACAAGCTTTCCAAGAAGCTTAATATACGGCAATACGTTTTCCGGTAATGTGAATGGAACAATACTAGTACAAAATAGAACTGACTTTGAGACATATTTCAGCACTGTTTACATTACGGACAACATCTTTGAAAGCAACTTGGGCACTGGTAGCACCATGAAACTTTCTGAGGTGCAAAGTGTGATCTCAAACAATTTTTTCTACAACAACTCAGGGTTACACACGATACAATATAGCTTTTCTAGCAGGTGGCCCAAAGGACAGAAGTGTGAGTCAAACACTTTCTATCTCAACAAAGGTCTTAGCCAGAACAAAGGTGTAACTATCGAGTCCAACGGACCAATGGAATACCACGGCAACAACTTTAAGAATCCGTCCAACCTTTACGAGTTCAGTTCAACGAGACAGGTCGATTCGATTTACAGTTACTGGTTTGGTACACCGAGACCATCTGACCCGATTGATGCGACCCTGAACTGGTGGGGCGTTGAAGAAGGTTCTTCCGTTGCTTCACGCATTTACGCTAATAAAGACGATTGGAGGTGGGCTACAGTAGAATATATACCATTCCACAAGTTGCCACAGGGAAACTTTTTTTCAAGTAAGTACTAGGTAGTTAAATGGGCGGTGGCTTTTGGGGTTTGAGGCGAGTTAACGTTTTAGTGTGACTCGGGTCCTCGTCAGTGCCTCTTATTACACAAGACGCCCCTCTGTAGCCAGTGTACAGTGTCCCCATCATGCTGGTAGCCAAGGTGTAAAATGTCCACGTACTGAAGCCACCATTGTTAATACAGAGACTTTGTTGTGAGTTTCTACTTCTTTGTGATCATCTCCCTGACATTCCCGTCCCTTTTGATATCATCTCCCTAAAAGTCTAGTCTCTTATGATATTTTTAACTCAATACATGCAAGAACCTTATATTGGGTTAACTGGACCAACTTGCAAAGGCAGCTAAACGGGGAACAATTAGTCTCGCGATAACATAGTTTCACTTCATTGATGAGAATACAATCACGTTACTCGAAGTTTTTCAAATTAACAGAATGTATGATGTAGACATGACATAACATGTATAGACCTAGCAATTTTTCTTTCACAATTCTATCCAAACCCTGGAAAGGCGCAGTGAGGTTAACCCTATGTAAAACACCAACTCGTGAGTCAAAGCCAGACCACAACACTGGGAACTCCGTGCCCTACTCTTTGCGACAAGTGTGTTAACCATGTGACACCAATGATGCAGGAGACGGGGCCTACGATTTATAGTCCTTATACAAGAAGACTTGAACGTCTAACCATAGATGTAATTACAAAGGTAGCACATTCTCCTCAGTTAAGACCCTGAGTGTTGGTCCGGTCTAGGACTCAAACACTCGACCTCCCGTGCAGCAGTCTGCCGCTCTACCAAGCGACGGTTAGATTAGTGTTTAGTTATACTGATGTTATTTGTTATTTAGATGGTTGTCCCGTCAGCTGGCTGAGAGCAAAATCAACGTGCTTCGTGTTCAGAGGTGGAAGTAAAACATTCAAGGAGGCCCAGGATTACTGCCAGGTACGCAATTCAGAAGTGATTTTTTTTTAATACCTGAGCGGGCAGGAACCACGTGCTTCACTACTTGATTGACTCGGCTGGACATTGACTCACTGGACATGATTTTGTTGTATTTTCGGGGAACAGGATTGGCGCAGTGGCGACAGCGCTCGCATCCAACCAATGTGGCCTGGGTTCGATTCCAGCCCGGTGCCACAAGTGGGTTGAGTTTGATGTTGGTTCTTGCCTTGCTCCAAGACTTTTTCTCCGGGTTCTTCGGTTTTCCTCCCTCCACGAAAACCAACATCTCCAAATTGCAATTAGACCAGGATAGACGACCCGCATGAAAACCAGTCAAGACTAATGGGACTTCCTCTCTAAATATTGTAGTTTATTTTGTTTTTACGCGACAAACAATGCGCGATGTTAAAAGTAATATAACACATTCCACCATATTTGCGATCACTATTGAGTAATACTCCGTTGTGCAGAAAACCAATCAAAACTCAAAGCAAATACATGACACCGACGCAAAGCGCGGGAAAATGTGTCCACGCGAGTCACGACAGGCTTTGGCTTCACTTCTGATTGGATGACAAAGTGGCCCGAGGTTATCAGCGAATCACTTAGGCCTAGGGCAAACGTCGAATCCATTTCATTGACTGCTATATACTTGTGTTTCAGTACCATGGAGGACATTTGGCATCGACTTATATACCAGAAGATATGGATTTTATTAACAAGGCGATACCGGGATCAAGACCAGATGGAAAACCACTTGTTCCTATATGGATAAAAACCGAGGAAAACATGGTACTGTATGAAATCTCACTGGGTAAAGAGAATTAAAAAGTACCCATTGTCTATTGTGTTTTACTTGCTCTTCTCTCTGAATTCCCTGAATGTGTAAGACATGATAGTCTAGCAGTTCTAGCTGTTAGTGGATCGGTCTTCGAATTTTCTTTTAAAATTTGCCTCTAACTTTGCAATAAAATTTTAGCAGTTGCGATGTAATGGTCAATTCTGTATGAGACGCGCCTGCAGGGAGACTCTCTATGGAACGATCTTCCCGAGGAACTTGGTACTGCAAAATCCTTAGACCTCTTCAAGAGATGCATTAATAGATCGATGGTTCTCTGCATCGGACTCCCACACGGCAAATATGAAAACTAGTAAATAGAAAATCTTACATGTCATGTATTTTCTTTTTTTCTGTTACTACGTACCGATATTGGTAACATATTATAACTAAAGTTTTCATTCATTCATTCATTGGTAGTTGTATTCATCAAAACATGATGATGATGAATACAACTACCATAATTCCCTGCAGGCGCGTCTCAGAAAGGGAATTGACAATTGAAAGGTAGTAGGTCTTCACCAAGTAAAGAGATAATTATAGTAAGTAATTTTACGTTCGTTTATAAAGGGAGGGCTTTGAATAAGTGACAGCTAGCTGTATTGCAATAGCCTCAGACTGACTTGTTCCAATGTTAATAGCTTAACGCTTCGAATGCGGTAAAGTTTCAGATGGTTAATAAAAGATGTCGATCTCTTCAATTCACCAGGTAGTGGGAAAGAGTGGTGAAAGATGTACCGTAATGACACTGGACAGAGCTCAAAAAATTGTCTCGTGTAACAGTCTGTACCCCTTTGTTTGCACAACAACTGCTCGTAAGTTATCAGTGTTTAACTAAAATAAACAATAATAATAATGATAATAATAATAATAATAATAATAATAGCCATTTATAAAAATACTATAGTTATCTCGTTTGTGTTTTTGTGTGAAGATCTAGAAACAGGTGATAACAGTTGCAGATAAAATGTCCCAATTTGTCTTTCAATTCGATTTATTTTAAAGTTTTAAAAAGCTTTGAATTTATCAGAATTTTCACATCTAATACCATACTTTGGTCATCTTTAGGGTCGTGTTACCACTGTGTACCGAACACGAATATAGATCCGCCAGTGTTGTGTGACAATCCAGTAGACTATGTCACGGTGGACTGCCCCCATAATGCACCTTGCTTTAACGCCACATTAATGACGTCTACAAACAAACCGGTTTACGGCTTAGGTTGTGCGGACGTGAGTAGAATCATTTTCATATTACTTACACAATTTTCTTTAGAAATCCTTTTTCTCTCTTAATTTAGTCAACAAACCAAACATGTTCCGTGCTTCTATCAAGTTTCAGTATATAAGCCGTTCTCTGATTGGCTATATATGTTACTTGAACGACTAGTAGATTTATACTAAAACAACTCGGGCTGTGCCCTCGTCAACTATCACGAATTAGTTCACTACTACTTCTGACTGGTTTAAATTCATCATGTGACGCGATAGTGTTCGTCTGCGGAGAGACACTATCAGCCCATAGTCCCAGCTAGTCCGCGGAAAATACCCGGATGGATAGTACTCGTCCGTGAAAATCTTTCTGTAAACACGCGGGCTTGTAGAAAATAAATAACTGAAATTGTGTTTAGTGGGTTTTTGTCTGTTGTCTTTTTCAAATTTTACATTTGGCTGTCGCTTTCATCTAACAAAGTTGGAAATAATTCACCAGGGTTTAGGCTGACCATCAAAACTGAACTATAAATGTAACTTTTAAAACAAATGACAAGTAAAGATGACCAACATTCGCTATTGCGTAACAGTTGACACATATGGAAATTACTATACCCGTTATCATACCAGTCTTGTTTTTCTTTCAGACCATCTCGTCTGACTCGCCTGCGGCAAACTGCTCTCAAACTGAGGAGCAATTGTGCTCATACATTACAGCGAGACTGGCAAGCGACTCTCAACTTATCAGCTCATGTAGCTCTGTATGCTGCACGACAAACAAGTGTAATGGAAAGGACCCAGTCTACTACACTACTACTGTGTCAACAGAATCCATGGCACCATCTGCCACTGCATCAACAAAAGGTACACTAAGAGTTTATTTACTACAGAAAAAGAAACTGAATGAGTGCATCAAGTCACTCTTGACAGAACGTCTCTCCTACCAGAGCAAAATTACCCTGGGTGGGGGAGCGCGCTACTCCATATGTGGGGTATTTAGATGTGCCGCGGGAGAGGGTAGGACTTTCGAGGTTCTCGGTTCTTAAATAGGGTATCATGTTTGCCCCTGTTTGCATTGAGTTCCCGGTGTGACCCTTTCATGAGGTACCTAAAATAAATTGTATCAGCTAAAATTGCAGTGCGTAAACGTCCATCTAAACGAAAAACAAATGATCCGTCAAACCTGAACTTACCGTTTACTTCCAATGTTGCAGAAACAAGATAAACTTGACCCGTTTAAGCTTTTCTCAGTTTTTGTTTTTCCTTTAGTGAATCAATATTCATTTGCTTCATCTTTGTGTAGGCGTAGGTCTGAAGACCCTTCGCGGCACACATCTGTACAAAATTTACGGAAGAACCCATCCCCTCCAGAGAATTATTCAAAGAGACGAGAAACGACCCAAGCTCAGTTCTAATGAGTTCTTTTTACTCTTATTGGATCAAAAAATATTCAATAGGAATGCCACGTGGAATAGCAGTACCTGTGCCCACAATGACATGAGTCCAAGGAGAGCATTATTCCCTTGCGCCGCTACGAGCCCTCTCTTTGCGTTCAATTCGCATCCTCTTCCGCGAAAATCTCGTTGAAAAACTTTGAGTACATGTACTACGGGCTTTTTTGGCCTTCTTGTTAATCAAATTTAAACAAACAAATGTTCTAATTTCTATTCCTTCCGAGAGAGGAAACTGGAGTAGTGTTAAAAAAGTACTTGATCTTCAGGTGGGGCGGTGGCCTTACGGTTAGTGCGCTCGTCTCCGGATCGAGCGATGCTGGTTCGAGCCCTGGCGCGGGACACATTGTTGCGTTCTTGGGTAAGACACTTTACTCTCACAGAGTTCACTCTCACCCAGGTGTATAAATGGGTACCAGCAACATTAATGCTGGGGGTAACCCTGCGATGGACTAGCATCCCATCCAGGGGGGAGTAGAAATACTCCTAGTCGCTTCATGCTACAGAAACCGGAGATACTGATGGGCCACTTGGCTGGTACGCAGACTTGATTTTCATATTTTATTTTATTTTATTTGGCAGGTTTCGCTATTGACTGCTACGAGTGTATTAACCCGCGCGAAGTTTCTAAAGGAGACGAGTGTAGCAGTGATAGATTGATCACGTGCCCTAGATCCTACGATAGGTGTATGACAATGAAGTACACCATGTCTGTTAGACAATCGGGCCCAGTCTATGTCGAGCACAGAGGCTGCTCCAACATTGCCTCGTGTGACCCGAAAAACCTGTTAAATAGTAAGTGCAATAATCGTAAGTAGTGTCATGGAACCCGTTTGTTAATTAAAAGCACTGAGACATTTATTTTACCTAACAGAAGAAGCATTCAAGCTACGCCCTACCCCACCTCACCTCAGCTCGCTTCACCTCGCCTCACCTTCAGGGCCGCCCCTACCTCATCTCATCTCACCACACCGTACCTTTGACACAGGCAATGATCACACTTGGTGCCGTAGCGCGGTGCCATAGCATGATTCTCGCTGGACAATAATATGAACACACCCTTTTTCGGTGTACTCACACCAGAACTCGGCCACAGTGTCCGTGCCCGGGTACAAAGTCATGACCTTGTAATTGGGCGCTAAGTGGTACATGGTAGAGTGGCATCCCACCTCACGGCCATCTTGTTATTACGCCCTCTTTATTCTGGCCGGAATAAAAGCTCAGTCAGTCATTTTCGAATGTGTATTGCACCGTCCTAAAGGAAATGAGAGGACGTGAGATATCCAACCTTCCTGGGTAGACGTCACAAGAACCACTGGACCCATTCTCCTCAAACTCGGTCGTGAAACAAAAAGGCGGTGTTTTGGAGCTATTTTCGAGATTTCGTCGGAGCACAGAAAATCGAGGATTTAACGGAATCCAAAAATTTTTTCGCAGAACTATTTCAAATAAGAAGTAGATTCGTTTTAGCGAAAAAAAATTTTGGGGGTTAGGTGCACTTTAAAGAACCCCTTTATACGACCACCCCTTTGTGGCCCTTTGGTGACCGGAAGTGTTCCACAGTACTTGGGTACTTAGAGTACCTAGTGTCCATACAACAGTTCTCGAGTACCAGGTGTGAACACAACCCTTTAAATATTGATATCAAAACCCTTTAACCCTTTAAATATTGAGTTGGCGTGTCGTTGGTATGAAAGAAGAGCTCAAACAACAGAGCTGCACAATATTGACAAACGGTTTTTTTTTTAATCCAACAGGCTGCGCCTTGATGAATGTCACTGGCATGTTGACTGACTGTTCGCTTGACTGCTGTCAAGATAGACTGTGCAATATGCCTAGAGCTCGAGAATCAATTACTAAGCCAAACAATCCACCCAAAGCACGAAATACAGGTTTTGGACTAGCTGCAAATTTTGGCACAACTTTGTTGGTTTTAGTACTGGCTATGTTTTCTAGGTATTTAGCCTAACCTGCACAGCCTACTGTTTTTTGTTTTTTTTTTCCTGATATATATAGTTTCAAAATATGGCCACATTACACATCTCTCAGGTCAAAAACCTGAGAGTCGTCGTAGGTTAAGTTTTCTCTTTCTTGTTAAGTTTTTTGATGTTTTTTTTTAAAAAGCCGAAAGAAGTGCGGGTACATTTTGTAACCGGTAATCTACAATCAATTTAACAAAAAAAAGCCTTGTGCTGTAGTTGATGATTTTAAGGTGACAGGCCAAAACGCAGGGACAGAAGAGACAATTTGTTGAGTTCCTCTTTGCTTCTCTTTCAATACGAGAAAACATCCCGTGGAAAAAAGAAATTCTTGTTATGTTTGAATAAAAATGGATACGCCGGAGAAATTTTAAAACGCAGCTTAGTTTCTACGGTAGGCCCTCCGTCCACACTAATCCGTCACGAAAACGGAGCTTTTTGAAAACGTTCTTCAAACCGGAGGAATTTGAAAACGGCGGCTTTTCGTTTTAGTGTGAACGTTAAACCTTTCGAAAACGGACCATTTTCGAAAACGATGACGTCACGATAATAATATGATTTCTCTGTCCGAGTTTTTCTCAACCACAAATCCAAAATGGCCGGTTATTGTTGCGTTTTTTAACATTTGATGCATTATCAGAGTAAAACCTGCGTTTTTAAATTCCTCCGGCATAGTGTGGACGAGTCTACAGGAGATAATGGTCAAAGAGATGCAGTCGAGTTTGACTAGAAAACGAGGGCGAGTTGTCAAAAGCGTAATTGTTTCCCCTCCAACCATTGGAAATTTTATGTTCTAAAAGACTACTTCTCAGCGTTTGAACTTGGTTCTCGGGTTAACATTTATTTTCTAGAACATCAAATTTCCGGGGGCAGCAATCGCGGTCACATTGTGCACAATTAGGTGCTACCCTCGGTAAAAAGTGTTAACTTACTTGCCTACAGACTCTCGATGCTACCCCAGCTATATCGTTTATATACACAACAATGGAAGAACTGGCAAGATTTATATGGAACTCGCTGAAACTCTCTATATACTACCGCCGGGATTCTCTCCTCTTCTTCAGGGGTAAAAATCGTGTTGTGGTGCCCCTGGGAATGTTTCATTTCACATTTTTACTGCCAATGTGGTACCAATGGTAGGGTTTTTAGAGCTCGCTGCAGTTGGAATTCGATAGTGATAAAGTTTCTGCATGGAAAATAACTAGTCTAGGGTAGGGTTGCAAAATCAAGTTGATCATGGTCTAGTAACGGTATCAGTGTTCTAGCGGTACACCCCTACCCAATAATTTACAGAGCACCCCCCCCCCCCCNACAGAGCACCCCTCCCCCCCCTCCCCCGGGGTTGCGAACTACATCAGCGTGCATGATTTCTGGACGTTTGAATCGAGTCAGACAGTGAGTGGGGAAAAAGTTTTTCCTGAAACGGTCAACATCTTGACTTATTCACGTACCACGGAGAAAGGTATCGCGCATCATAACAATAATAGTAGTGAAAACATTTATTAAAAAATGAAGCATTACAACTGCAAATTACATTGCCTTATCTAATTACCATTCTTATTGTCCTTCCCAACTCAAAATCGTGTCAAGCACAAAAAGTACTGTTAAAAACATTTTTTTAGGCACCCAGTATTTCTTAAACAAGATGTTGGTTTTTGCACAGTCCACAAGGTTCTCCGCGTAGTAACATCGAAATAAATGTACTGAAATATCTAAAGAAAATGATTATTTGAAATCTTAAATGCATAGCTAGTTAGAAATGAAAAACGTGCAATTCCTTCTCTGGCCTTTCAAACCCTGCCAGGTTTGTGTAATCAAACTAACAAGAACATAGAACTCATAATGAGACAAGCACACAGTTCACTAAACTCCTGGAAACTAATTCAGGACCAAAGCCAACAAAACGGCGACCAAACTTGCTACCAAACCAGAGATACGGGCAGCTGCATTACAGTTATCACCCTCGCAGCAGTCGATCTCGCATTTTGACAACATTCCTGTGGTGCCGTTTAAAATTTTGCACACTGTAAAGAAAATATATTCGCTATTAAGAACGATAATAATATCATTTTTCTATGTCGTTAAGGCGGATGACCCAACTAGAACTGGGGCGCATGCAGGATTTTAGAGAAGGGGGTTCGAGATATGGAATGTCGTGGACGTTTCCCTGTTGGGGTATCCTTGGGCATCCTTCCCCAGGGATATTATTAACATTGAAATCCTTGGAAATGGGATTTTCGGCATTCTGAGGGCAAGTCAGCATGTTACAATGTCTCATTTTTTTAGGCGTTTGCGACCGAGCTCCCAGACCCTCCCCTCCCCTCCCCTTGATCCGACTCAGTAGAGATTCCACAACATGAAGCGACCAGGAATATCTGTAGATGAGTGCTTGAACATTGCAGGGTTCAATTCTCCTGGAAAGAAAGAGGTACTGTGAGTACATTATCTTGCAGAAGAGAACCGCGCAATAATTAAACCCGGACAAGGGCTCGATCAATCCGGAGGGCAGGACGCTAACCATTAGGTTTTTACTGGGACTCTCACAAAGACATTCAGTTAATTATCGACTTAAAGTTGAGATAGAAAAATAAATGGCTTCTTCTTCGGGTGTCCGATTTTTTTGTAATATTTCTTTTGTATTTTTTTTATTTTATGAAAGACCTCCCTGAAAATCACGTGTTTACGGGACAGGTGCTTGCTCATATGAATATTTTCCTTCTTATTGTTATAATTGTTAAAACCATTTGGTTGTTAAACATGTTCAATATTATATTCAGAGGGGGGAGGAGAGCGCTCCCTTTCCTGGGCTATCTTCTCACTCGGTGCCCGAGCACAGTGCCCGAGTACGATTCTAATGTGAACACAGCACCTTTTTCCGAGTACTCACACCAGAATTCGGGCGCAGTGCCCGTGCCCGGGTCCATGGTCTCGACCTTGTTAATCTGGCAATAGGCCTTTCGCAGGATCCGGTCACATGGTACGGAATTAATTACGCTGGGACGCAAGTTACGCAGTGGGACTTCCAAAACAAAGGAAAGTCGGGCTGGACTGGTACAAGTTCTTTTGTTTTGGAAGTCCCACTGCGCAACTTGCGTCCCAGCATAATTAATTCCGTACCATGTGACCGGATCGTCTATAGATGGTACTTGGGTCTTTGGAGTAACCGGTGTCTGAGGGAAACATTATTTTGTGTTGGTAACTACGCACCAGTGTCTACGCGCCAAGGGTGAATGCAGCCACACATTACAGCCTTCACATTAATTTTACTTACTATTGTATGGACTGTCCGGGCTACACACAATGCTGCTGGAGCAATTTTTCAACTGGAAGTCCAATGATCCAGCATTAGGGACTGCCATTGTTCCCTTGATCGTCATACATCTGTCCAAGAACGTATCACAAGTGATGCTTCTGATGTTCTCATCGTTGCATTTACCTACACCTGAGTATCCGGGAATGTCTGTACAGTCATAGCATTCCAGAGTCAAAGCTGTCAATTCAAGCAGATAAAACATCAATCCTGTTCTTTACACTAATAAAATCGGATCTGTTTACTTTGTAACACGGACACCAACGCTTTCAAAATTGCTTCGGAATTGGGCTTTCGAAAGGAGAGCTGCCCGAATTGAAATGGAATTGCAGACAAGTGATACCGTTATGGATCGATTAGGATGGAAGCCGCTCTCTGAGAGACGTGAGGAGCATATAAAAGAACTTGTCAATAAATGCTCGAAGGGACATGTCCCAGATTAATTGAAGAACTATTTTGATACAATACGAAGTGGCATGCATTCTTATTATACTAGAGGTAGCATCAATATTTTTTAAGTTGCAAAACGTACGTTTTATTACAAGGATGCAATTATTTTTAACTCTTTAATTTTTACCATTTTTTGCAAGAATTTTTAAATTTCCCCCATTCTTTCTTTTCATGTATTCATTTCATCTTTGGTTTATTTAACAGGGCCCACAGTGATGTCAGTTTTATAACTGAAGTGGTTACCCAGTATAAATATTATAATTATTATTATCATAAAGTAAAGGGAGAAGCCAAGGGAAAAGGGAGAGAGTCTTTTTATTGGTAGTAGTATTTTTATTTTTTATGTGTTATCCAATCAGCGCAGCATTCAGATTTTGGACGTTCAGCGCAAGGATCCTTTTGTGCCATGCTTTTCTCCACTTCTCTCCTCGACCCTTCTCCCTTCCCCTTGGGAAGGTCTGTCTGGCTGATAATGAGGCTTCGTCCGTTTAATCTATGATCGCGAAGATCATCTAGCCTGCAAGCTGGCTCTCGTTTTGCTCGCGTGTTTGGGCTTTTCACGACCTCATGTTCCGACCTCATGTTCCAACGTCATTGTATGGAGTACAGTGGAACCCCACCTTACGTAGGCTCGATTTCCAGGCGTTTTGCGAGTGCGGTTGTTTATTCTCCTCCCAACGAGGATGTGGGGCAAGGACCGCGGGCTCACAAAACTGCTGCAAATCGAGCCTACGCTTTACAGTCACCTCGTAATTACGGTCACCCCGTTATTACGACCACCCCGTTATTACGGCCACTCCGTTATTACGGCCACCCCGTTTATGCGGTCACCCCGTTATTACGGTCACCCCGTTATTACGGCAACTTTTTCTGTCCCCGCGAAACGCCCATAAATTTTCTTATACGCAAACCTCGTTGATACGGTCAACGGACACATTCTACAAGCTCAACCAGTATAATCCTTTGTAATTTTACCCCGTTTATACGGCCACTCCAATCAGTTATGTTCATCTTTCTGATTAAAGTTTCATTGTTTTAAAATCATGTCTGCATTCCGGATGCTGGTAAAGAACAGTACTGTTGTTTAGAATTGCAATTCTGATAGATCTGTTAAGAGGTCACTCAAGTTAGACCAGTCATAAGGTTTGACCCTACCCCGTTACTACTGCAGAAATTTCATGGCCCGTTGATGACCGTACTAAACGTGGTTCCGCTGTGCCTTTAATGCCCTCTTAGCAGCCACGTGTATTTGAGTAATCACAAACTATAACTTGTTCCAGCAGAATGAAAGGCTAAATTTTCACCGCTTACTCGAATCCGATCTACTTTCCTCCAACAGTTCCTAGGAAGCGCGCGGGCTCCTTTCTGGAACAGCGGCTGGTAAGCGAGCCCAGCAGAATGACTGATACCCAGACTTTACGGACGGGTTTATAAATTGAACATCGAATTTATTGATCTTTATTATGCGGCTCAAGAGTTATTCTGGACGGAGTTACCTGCTGAAACCCGATTGCTTCCTTCGTTAAGGCTGTTTTTATTTTTTCACTAAGAGTAGGTTTACACTAGAGGAAATTGTTCCGGAATGTTCTAGTACCGGATTAGTTTTGCTGTTTACACACAAGTGGACGAATCCGAAATAAAAACTCCCCGGTTTGGTCATGTCTCCGGAGATTTTTAATCCGGGACTTAAAGTGGGAACTTTGAATCCGGAGAGTTTTGTAATGTAAACGATTTCCTCTCAAATCCGGATACTTTTCCGCCTGCGATCTTTTGACTTTTCGGAAGAACAAAAATGGCTGATCTAGTAATGGCCACTGATGCGAGGCAGCCTGCCCCGCACCGCTCCGATCGCTTCGCAGCCGTTTCGCGCTCGTTTTTCGTCCTCGCCGGGAGCCTGTTCACAGGTTAATGTAACAGACCTCAACGAGCAATATAGTCATACAAGACTGATCTGATTTTTTTTCCTGTCCTTTATTTCGAAAGCAGTAGATTACTCTGTTCAGATGTAACGTTAATGTTACTGAGAACATCTTTATCTCATAATATGGATCTAGGTGGCGTGGCCTAGTGGCTAGGGCGCTGGAATTATGAGGTCCCGGGTTCAAATCCTCCACCCTGCCACTAGATGGATCTTTTGCTTGGTAGTCCCAAATTCAACTCCTGCACGCTTTGTAAATGGGTCAGCCTCCCGACAGTTGGGATTTTTAACAAGTTTCTGTTCGATTAAAAATATTTATATGCTTATTTTCAGTGTCCCCAATTAGTACAGCAGTGCTAAACACTTCGACACTTAAATAAAGTGATTTGATTTATTTTATCTATCTATCTATCTATCTATCTATCTATCTATCTATCTATCTATCTATCTATCTATCTATCTATCTATCTATCT